GGTGGCAGATGCCTGTAATCCCAGCTACTCAGGAGATTGAGGCAGGAGAATGAGTTGACCCTGGGAAGCTGAGGTTGTAGTGAGCTGAGAGTTGTGCCACTGTACTCCAGCCTGGGTGACAGAGAGTGTGAAGAAAAAGAAAGAGAGAGAGGGAGAGAGAGGGAAGGAAGGAAGGAAAGGAAAGAAGGAAGGAAGGAAAGAAAGAAAAGGAAGGGAGGGAGGGAGGGGAATAAAAGCAGTAGAAGGAAGGAAAGGGAGAGAAGGAAGAAGGGAGGGAAGGAAGGAAAGAAGAAAAAAATGAAGGAAGGGAGGGAGGGTAAGAACAGTAGAAGGAAGGACGGGGACAGAAGGAAGAAGGGAAGGAAGGATGGAAGGAAGGAAGGAGAGAGACAGAGGGAGGGAGACAGAGAGAGAGAGAGAAGAGGAGGGAGGGGAGGCTTGGTGGCTCACGCCTGTTATCCCAGCACTTTGGCAGGCCAAGGTGGGTGGATCACCTGAGGTTGGGTGTTTGAGACCAGCCTGACCAACATGGTGAAACTGTGTCTATTAAAAATACAAGAAGTTAGCCAGGCATGGTGGTGTATGCCTGTAATCCCAGCTACTTGGGAGGCTGAGGCGGGAGGATTGCTTGAACTCGAGAGGCAGAGGTTGTGGTGAGCTGAGGTGGTGCCAGTGCACTCCAGCCTGGACAACAAGAGGGAAACTCCATCTCCAAAAAAAAAAGAAAGCTATTAAAAAAAAAAAAAAAAAAAAAGGTGCCATTGGCCATCAGGTATGTGAGTCTAAAACCTGAGTTCAAAATAAAAAGTTGGAAGTCATTATGTGGGTGGTAGTTTTTCTTTCTTTCTTTCTTTCTTTCTTTTCTTTTTTTTGTATTTGAGACAGGTCTTACTCTGTCATCCAGGCTGGAGTACAGTGGTGTGATCTCAGCTCACTGCAATCTCTGCCTCCCAGGCTCAAGAGATCTACCTCTTCCTCCTGAGTAGCTGGGACTACAGGTGCATACCACCACTCCCGGCTAATTGTATTTTTTTGTAGAGATGAGGTTTCACCATATTGCCCAGGCTGGTACTAAGTTCAAGTGATCCACCTACCTCAGCCTTCCAAAGTGCTGGGATTATAGACGAGCCGCTGCACCTGGCCCTGGACAGTAGTTTAAATATGAGAATGGATACAATCACTGAAAGAACATGTAGAATGAAGGGAAAGAGAAGCTAATTAAATAAATGACCAGAGAGATAGAAATAAAACCGTGGAGTATAGTGTTACAGAAACCAGTGGGATTGAGTATCTCTAACAAGATAGATACACAAGGGATAATAATCATCACAACCTCAAATTCAATAGGGAAACCCAAATAAGAAAGGGAGAATTCAGTGGTAATGGCAATCAATTCTGTGACAATAGCCACGGTGTCCACAAAACGGTGGGTACAAAAAGCAGAACATAGAAATGGAGGCTTCTATCTCCATAGCTCCACTAAAATGACTTGCCATTATCTGATCCTCTGTTTTCCAAATCCAGTGGTCAATTTTCAGTCATCTTAACCTGTTTTATGAGCAGGAGTAATGGAGATTATAGCGCCTTCTTGAAGCTTTTTTTGGTTTGTTTTATAAGACCACTCACTTTTGAGTTTTATTCCTCCTATTTCCTGGCTACTCTTTTTAAGTAAAATTTGCTGGATGTTCCTCCTGTCTGACCTTTATTAGTTGGAATGCCTCAGGATTAGAGGTCTCAGTCTTTAAACTGCTACCCTTTTCTTCCAGATCGATTTCTCTCCACCCTGTGACTATCTATGCCATTTATAACTTAGCTACTCCTTAATTTCTACCTCTCATTGTCCCTTCCATGAGTTCCAGGTTCATATTTCCAGTTGTTTATTTGGTAGCTCCATTTGGAAATCTAATAAGGATCTCTAGTTTAACATGTCTGAAGTAGAATTGGATGTTTTCCCCAACAAAATAACCTTGCTTCTGTTTCCCAACATGCTCTATCTCAGTAAATAGCATCACTATCCAGTTACTCAAGTCAAAAAACCTGATTTTTTATTCTTGTCTGTATCTTGTACCCCACATTCAGTCTGTTAACACATCACCTCTACATCACTTTCAGAACACATCCTGAATCCTGCCACTTTCACTGCAACACTAGTCTTGCAGGTCTTTTGCATTAGCTTCCTAATTGGTCTATTAGCTTCTATTTGGCTTCCCTACAGGGAGTTGTCAAACAATCAACCAGAGTGAACCTCTTCAATTACAAATCAGATCATGTCACTCTTACTCAGCACCCTCCATGTCTTCCAAGCATTCTTAGGATAAAATCCAGAGTCCTTTCTTTGGTTCATAAATCCGTAAGTGATCTGGCTCCCATCTCGTTTCTCCAAACTAATTTCCTATCTGTCCTTTTGCCACAGTGGCTTCCTTGTCAGGCACACTCAAGCTGTAAGGAATTCACCTTGTTGTTTCTTCTGCTTGAAATGTTCTTTCCCAAGTTTGCGTAGCGTACTGTCTCACTTCAAACCTTATTCAGATGTCACCTCAGCAGAGGGGCCTTCCCTGAACCCCCTGTGTAAAAGAGCACACCCATCCAGGTAACCCATTTGTATTCTGCTTTATTTTCCTTTACAGTACTCCCCATAACTTTAGATTTTATCTGTGCATCTCTCTCCTCCTCCTATGTTCCCAAACCTTGCACTAAGTTCCATGAATGCAGGAATCTCTTCACTGTTGCAGCCCCAGCACATAGTACAGGGCCTCCCAGAGGAGGAAATCAATAAATAGTTGTTGACTGAATAAAAGTATGAATAGGATGGTAGGGCATTAAATAGCTACTTTGTGCTCTAGCCCTCTTCTAGGTGTTGAGATTACAAAGATGGTAAAAACATCGTCCTTGCCCTCAATAATTTATATTCTGGTAGTGTAGCTGGATTACAAATATGTAATTTTAAATTAAATGTTATAGGTAAAAAAAAGTTATTAAAAAAAGCAGTGCAGAGTAAAGGGATGGAGGATAATAGGATGGGTTCCATTTTAGTTAGAATAGTCAAGAGCTGCCTGTCTTAGGAAGTAGGATTTCAACAGACACCTCAAGTCTAGTAAAGATCTAGTAGATGGACATTCCAAGAAAAAAAAAAAAAAACAACTCTAGGGCTGGGACATGCTTTGTGTGGAGGGACAGTAACGCCAGTGAGACTAGAGCAGGGCTAGTCAGTGTGGGAGGAGATGAATCTAATAAATGGGCAGGTGCCAGATCATGTAGGGCCCTTCTTGGAGGCAACTGATTTTTTTGTTTGTTTGTTTGTTTTGTTTTGTTTTTTGTTTTGGGACGGAGTTTCGCTCTTGTTACCCAGGCTGGAGTGCAATGGCCTGATCTCGGCTCACTGCAACCTCCGCCTCCTGGGTTCAGGAGATTCTCCTGCCTCAGCCTCCTGAGTAGCTGGGATTACAGGCACGCGCCACCATGCCCAGCTAATTTTTTGTATTTTTAGTAGAGACGGGTTTTCACCATGTTGACCAGGATGGTCTCGATCACTTGACCTCGTGATCCACCCGCCTCAGCCTGCCAAAGTGCTGGGATTAGAGGCTTGAGCCACCGCGCCCGGCTTTTTTTTTTTTTTTTTTTGATACGGAGTTTCGCTCTCATTACTCAGGCTGGAGTGCAATGGCGCGATCTCGGCTCACCGCAACTTCCGCCTCCTGGGTTCAGGCAATTCTCCGAGGCAACTGATTTTTTGATGGGCTTTAAGGCTATCATACTTTTGACTTTTACTGCGTGATGGGAAGCTATTGGAAGTTTTGAGCAGCAAGGGGACTGGAAAAATACATGGCCTTATTTATTTATTTATTTATTTATTTTAAAGACGGAGTCTCTACCACCCAGGCTGGAGCGCAGTGGTGTGATCTTGGCTCACTGCAACCTCTGCCTCCCGGGTTCAAGCGATTCTCCTGCCTCAGCCTCCCAAGTAGCTGGGATTACAGGCGATTGCCACCATGCCCGGCTAAATTTTTTTTTTTTTTTTTAATGTATTTTTAGTAGAGACGGGGTTTCACCACGTTGGCCAGGCTGGTTTCCAACTCCTGACCTCAAGTGATCCGCCCACCTCAGCCTCCCAAAGTTCTAACAGGCATGGGCCACCGTGCCGCGCCAGAACTTACAGGGTTTTTGTTTTGTTTTGTTTGAGAGGGAGTTTCGCTCCTGTTGCCCAGACTGGAGTGCAATCGCGCGATCTTGGCTTAATGCAACCTCCGCCTCGTGGGTTCAAGCGATTCTCCTGCCTCAGCCTCCCAAGTCGATGAGATTACTGGAGCCCACCACCATGCCCAGCTATTTTTTGTTATTTTTACTAGAGACGGAGTTTCACCACGTTGGTCAGGCTGGTCTCGAACTCCTGACCTCAGGTGATCCACCCGCCTCGGCCTCTCAAAGTGTTGGGATTACAGGCCTGAGCCACCGTGCCCAGCCCAGACCTTACATTTTTAAAAGTCACTGGCTGCCTTGTGTTTAACTGTAATGGCAATAATGGAAATAGATAAACCAGCTAAGTGTCTATTGCCTGTAATATATAAGTAGTGGTCGGGGAGGTGAAAAAGGGTCAGATTTTTGCAACCCGGCCTTCTGGTTAAAAAAAAAAAAAAAAAAATCCCCAGCCTCACAGCTGGGAGTAATCCTCTGCACGGTTCCTGTAGGTGTCATAACGAAACGAGTACAAAAGTCACCCCGCCATCACCGGTCCCACTCTTGGGAACCTTTACCACACCACACCTCTCAGAAAAGAGCCTCTGGAATAGCTTCGCTACACCTCAAGCTACTGAGCCTCTTCTTTAAATATACGTAAATGGGGACTCCCAGGGGAAAATGGCCTCGAAAGTATAGAAACCACTTAAGGAAACAAAATCCTGAAAGGAAACGGATATTCAGAAGAAATCCTTTTGCCAATCATTGCTCGTTCCCAGTGTTCAAACACGGCAAAACTGGCCATCATCCAGGAAATGGCCTGCCAATTCCTTGGAAATTTAGTTTATTTCCATCACAACTCTGGGAAGCCCCTGACTCCCATTTGTTTTGCGTATCTCAAGAGAAGCGAGCCCCAAGAAGTCACAAAAACAACTTCGCCTCTTCGGTAACGCGCACGCGCCCCTCGCTCTGTGTGCCGTTGCCTTAAACCCCGCCCCTCGTGCGTCCTTCGAGGAGGGTTGCGAGCGGTGAGCTCGCGCGACCACTCTTCCCTCAGTCTTCTCGAGCACATCGTCGCAAACGGGGCCGGAAAGCGTGGCAGCGCAGGCGCAAGCGCAGAGAGCGGAGGCGGCGGTGGTGGCGGCCGCTGGCCAGTGTAAGATGGCGGCGGCGTCGGTGGTGGCAGTGGACGGGGCGGCTGGGCCTGGAACAGTCGGAGCAGCCGCAAGCAGAAGGATGACCCAAGACGGGAAGCGGGCTGCTGAGCCTCGCCGATTCCCGTGCTTGTAACTGCCCTAGCCGGACACCCCCCCTTGACCTACCCGGTCTGTGTCTCGTTCCGGCTCGGCCTGCCTCCCAGCGTCTCAGCCGGTTTCCCCTAAGGATGGGCCTGACCCCTTTCCCAAGCTCCTAGCGCTCAGGTCTTTTCCTTCCGCTGACCCGAAGTCATCGCCGGGAGTACTGGTTGTCCTTTCCTCAGGTCAGCCCTGGGGTTGCCCCCAAGAGCCAGCCCCACAGTCCACAGGGACGCCTTGCTTCGTTGGGTGACTCATTTGTGCGCTCCTGTTTCTCCCCTTAGATTGAGGGACACGGTTTGCCCTGCGTCTCCCCGTCACCTCAGGGCCACCGCGCAGTGTGCCCCCCTCCCCCATCCCAAGTTCTCAGGCCCAGCACCTTGTACGGAAGGCCGAGGTCCAAGAATCGCGGAATCGGTTGTTGTCCTATGGTCTTGTACCCTTTGTAATATAATTCTCTTAGTTTACCTCCTCTAACTCCCCAATCTTGTAGGATATCTTAGAACGGTACCATTTGGTTCCTGTTAGTTGGAAAGCATCTGGTGGCTTGAATTTCTGACTCATGATTGTTACTGGAGTCTGTAAACAAACCGGCACTAGCGCTATCACATTCTCTCCGGGATTCCCCCCTCCCCCTCCCCCTGCTCTGTGGCTTCTCGTTGAGAGGTTGTTTGGTTATGGTTTAGCGTTGAAAAGATTCAGGTTATCCTTTTAAATGACTTTAAGTTTTAGTGGAGCTGGGAGATTACTTGCCTGGCTTCTAATCTTCATGTTGGCTCATTTTATTTCCATATGTGTGTGGGTTCTTAGTTCAGTAATTAGAATTAAATTATTCTGCTTTTAAATAGTTTTGAGAAGGTCTAAAAATATTAAAGTGTATTCATAAATATTTTTATTATGTTTAGTAGAAGACACACCTTTGCCATGTAAACTTTAACTTTTCTCAGTCCTTCAGTGAATCTGCAGACCTATTTTCTCAGGAGCTCAGCCTGGCCTTACTTCAGTGATAAAAGGAGGAAAGGTGAGTGGGAGTTGGAGGCATTAAAATTCTTGAGTTCAAGACAGACTGCCCTGATGTTCAGCTGCTGACCACTGAAGTCATAAAATTCCTACCACAGTTTCCCAAAGAGTTTGGGTGTTGTTCTTGGCTTTGTTCCAGCTCTGGTTAAATTACTTTTACAAGTTTAATTGTCTGTGGGCTTCTTGTCTTTCTGTCCTAAACTGTTGCTGTATGTCTTCGGATTACTTAAGCCTAGAAGTGAATGTGTGCCCCCCGCCATGTCTTTTCTCTTTATTCATTTTCCTTGTATTTTGTCTTTGTGTCGATCATGTTGTTTCTTACATTGTTAAAAACTGGGACTTAGTTTGCCTGAATTCTGTTCAGCCAGAATTCAGGTCTCTGAAAATCAAGTCTCTCCTCTTCTCACAGCTTTGGATTGTCATTCCTTGGCATTTAGAGAGGAATATGTAGCTGCTTGTGACTTAAAAGCTGGGGAGTGTTGAGTGATGTTGCCTTTAGTTGGTGTCTGAGTCCAGTCTATTTCAGAATTCCGACTTTTTAGGATATAGTGGGAAACTTTTTGTAAAAAAAAAAAAAAAAAAAAAGTGGCTGCTCTTTCTCTTGTAGCTGGTCTGAAGAATTCTTGGTTAGCAGAAGAAACATCCTGGGTATTCAGCAGCATGGGCTGGTGCCAAAAAGGGAGTCAGAACATACTTACAAATGCAGTTTTCGTAAGGCTTTAGGTTTCTGGTGTCAGAGAATAGAGGTTCATGGCATGTGACAAAAAAGCTAAGTGGCTGGAAGGTAAGCGTGGCTGATTCCATCTATCTTTATAATTTGTAGTAGGAAAAGATTGAGAGTGACATTGGTGAGTTTTATTCCATCTGATGACTGAATTAGAAAATGTTCATTATGGACTGGAATAAAATTATTAGTGATGGTGTGCATGTAAATCAGTAAGATATAAAGAGAAAAGTACAATCTTTAGAGATTGGAGATTGGACAGACTTTTTTAATTTAAGATTTAAATACTACTAATGTTTCTTAACTATGTGACCTTGAGCAAGTTACTTAAACTCTGACTTAATTTCCACAACTCTAAAAGTGTGATAATACCACTTACCTCCTAGGGTCATTGTTAGTATTATAGGGAATCTATTTAAAGCTCTTAGTAATCTAAGAGCACGTGGTACACACTCAAAAAATACTTTGTTTTCTTTGCACATCATTGATACAGCTTTGAATAAGTTATACATTAATTGATAGTTCTTTACATTTTGCTTTAGAACACATTTTTCTGGTGAATTTTCCAAACTAATTTTTAATTGTTCAGCTTAGACCTGTCCTTTGTTAAGTGCCCACCTAGAGTTGTCTTCTGAACACAACCCCCCTGGTGGGAGTTCATAACCAGAGGACAGAGAGAATATTCGATGTTGGTGTATGTATATTTTAAAATGTATTCTTAAACATCAGTAAGTTTTTTATTCATTGCTTCCTTCTTGGTCTCTCTGTTAGCACACCTGATCAGAGTTGGCAGTGTTGTAATTTTTCCCTTTTGTGCTACAGTGTTCCCTCTACTGCAGCTACTCTATACTTTCCTTTTTTTTTTTTGCCATGAAGGGAATACATTTTTTCCTTGTTGGGCTGTGCAGTGATCCTCATCAACAAATTATCAAAGAACTGTATATGAGGGAAAGGTCTCATTTCTTTTTAAAGTGAATCAGGGGTAGAGAGTTAGGAATGAAGAGTTCTTTTTTCATCTCCACAGCTGGACCATCTTAATAGTGTGACAGCACAGGTGAAGAGTTTTAAACCTTTTGTTGACTTCTTTCACATCTTTTTGGCAAGGGCACATGAAAATTAAGTACAGATAATATCACAGTGAAAGCGGCCATGTCATTCAGACCAGTGATCATTTTAGGTTTAACTTTTCATTACCATCATCCAGGGTCGAAATTCTCCATTGTAAGGTAACGCTCTCCAGGGTGGTGGTGAGGTGGGTTGAGGTTGCATTTGTATCACTTGTGTTTTTATGAACTCTGAAGAGCCACGTCAGGTGAGGGGAAGGGCAGGAGGAGAAAAGGAAATACGTTGAAAAAGTATTAATAACTTTGACTGTTTATTTCCTTATGTGCTAGGTAAGAATCCCCAGGTCACATCTGTGTATATAGTAAATCAGTATTTCTAGTCTGTGGACCACACTCTAAATTTTTTATCTTTCTGAAGTTTTGTTATGTTTTATTTTTGTAGAGATAGGGTCTCACTTTGTTGCCTAGGCTGGTCTCAAACTCCAGGGCTCAAGTGATCCTCCCACCTCAGCTGAGTAGCTGGGACCACAGGCATACCATACCTAGCTAATTTTTTTTTTTTTTTTTTTTTTTTTTTGAGACGGAGTTTCACTCTTGTTACCCAGGCTGGAGTGCAATGGCGCGATCTCGGCTCACCGCAACCTCCGCCTCCTGGGTTCAGGCAATTCTCCTGCCTCAGCCTCCTGAGTAGCTGGGATTACAGGCACGAGCCACCACGCCCAGCTAATTTTTTTAGTATTTTTAGTAGAGACGGGGTTTCACCATGTTGACCAGGATGGTCTCGATCTCTTGACCTTGTGATCCACCCGCCTCGGCCTCCCAAAGTGCTGGGATTACAGGCTTGAGCCACCGCGCCCGGCTTTTTTTTTTTTTTTTTTTTTTTTAATTAGAGGTGAGGTCTCACTTTCTTGCCCATCTGGTCTCAAGTGATCCTCCCATCTTGGCCTCCCAAAGTGCTGGAATTACAGACATAGCCACAGCGTCCAACTTCAAGATATTTTTATATTTCCAGGATTTTAGGTGTTTACTTAAGAATTGTGACACCTTATTAGGTAGTATTTCCTAGGATGGCTGGAGTGGGAGGCTAAGAATGCTTTTGACCTTTTAGTTCCTACCACCAACCTCTTAGTTAAAGTGCAATCTATTTATTTTTGAAACAGGGTCTCTGCCACCTAGGCTGGAGTGCAGTGGCGCCATCATGGCTCACTGCAACCTCGACCTTGTGGGCTTAGGTGATCCTCCCACCTCAGCCTCTTGAGTAGCTGGAACTACAGGTGCATGCCACCACACTTGGCTAATTTTTGTATTTTTTTTTAAGAGGTTTTGCCATATTGCCCAGGCTGATCTCGAACCCCTAGGCTCAAACAGTCCTCCTGCCTCAGCCTTTCAAAGTGCTGGGATTACAGGTGTGAGCCACTGCACCCTGTTAAAGTGCAGTCAATTAAATGTATAGGAATCTGCCAGGCTGAGTGCAGTGGCTCATATCGTAATCCCAGCCCTTTTGGGAGGCCAAGGTCGGAGGAGCCTAGTTATTCAAGACCAGCCTAGGCAGTATAGTGACTTGAGCCTAGTTATTCAAGACCAGCCTAGGCAGTATAGTGAGACTTTGTCTCTACAAAAAGTTTTTTAAAAATTAGCCAAGCATGGGGCATGTACTTGTAGTCCCAGCTCCTTGGAAGGCAGAAGTGGGAGGATTGTTTTGAGTCCAGGAGGCAGAGGCTGCAGTGAGCTGAGATTGCGCCACTGCATTTTAGTAATGGCAGCAGAGCGGGACCTGGTCTCAAAAAAAAAAGAATCAGTCCCAGTGCCATGGTCCTTAGTGTTGAATAGGACCAACCTAAGACAGAAGCTTGTCTTCAGAGAACTGAAAGAAAGCAGCCTTTTTGTTGCCAGTTTAAAACAATACTGGCATTTTAAAAGCAAACAGACTCTAGTAGAAGACATTGTATAGGAGCGCACCCTGTTGTGAAAGACTGGGATCTTGAGTTTCATGCTCTAAGCCTTGTATTCTTTCAGGTGAGCTATAGGCTTTTAAAATCATAAAGTGCCTATTAAACTGCTTTCAGTAGATAGATTCATTACTCCATTGTTTCTACTGTAGAAAAGTTACTCTAAACGTGTCTAGGAAATATCCAGATTATAAAAGAGAAATAGTGGTATCCAAACAGGACTTTTTATTGCATAACATTGGTGTTAGAGTTAGTTTTTAAGTCTCTGAGATTGAATTAACTTTTTTTTTTTTAAAGCAGATTATCAGTGAGCTAAGATAATCTGTTTACCCTCACCCATTTGGAACATAGGCAACTGAATTAATTGAATCAGCAATAGGCATGGAGTAGTGACTTTGTATATCTTCATTTTGGAGCCAAAAACTGAGTTTTAGATTCGCTTTATAGTAATATTAAAAACTTCATCTTTTATTTTCACAAATATACCCAAAAAACTCCATTGCTGTTAAAATTAGTCAAAAAGGAGGATGCTTGCTCTTCATTGATTTAATCATTCTGCTCTTAGAGTGAGTAAAAAGTCTTTGAAAGCTTTTCAAAAATTAGTAAGTGATGAATTTTATGAATTGTCACTTTTTTTTTTTTTTTTTGAGACGGAGTTTTGCTCTTGTTACCCAGGCTGGAGTGCAATGGCGTGATCTCGGCTCACCGCAACCTCCGCCTCCTGGGCTCAGGCAATTCTCCTGCCTCAGCCTCCTAAGTAGCTGGGATTACAGGCACGCGCCACCATGCCCAG